GCCAGCCCCTGTTGTACCGCCAGCCAAGTTCATGCTCGTCCCCGTGTAAGCGGTGTAACGAGGTTTGACAGTATCATAGATTCATTTTTCCGAAGACAAGCGGTGTCAGCATCAGACCAGACCATCAATGATTTATTTATAGAGGCACCAGCCATCCATGTCCAGGTGCTGTTTTAGCCTAAGGTATCAGAATCTTGAAGCTTAAAGATGACAATTTTCCCTGTTTTCTTAATGATAATATTACAGTATAACACAGATATCTCGAATTCGTCGAGACCGGCCTCGGTAGTTCGAGGGGTCAGACAGTCGATGGATATCTTACAAAGATAAACATGGGAAAAATGGGACCGCATGCACAGTTCGGCGGATGCATGATTTCGAGTCTTCTGTGTTGGACCTATCCGTGTTATACTGTATATATTTCCTTTTTGTCCCCTTTTCATACTGCAGCACTTCAATAACTGACAAAGCTCTCACTAAAACAAACAAACAACTGACCTGTGTAAAGGGGTGCTGAGAATAAACAGCGGGATGTACGTCTGGAAGCACGACGGGATGACGAGCAGACAACAAAGGACGATCAATTTCTTCTGGTACTTTCCCAGGTCCCCTATCTCCACCAGGAAGTCGTCAAGTGTTATGTCTGCCATCTAGGAAGTGAGTGCAGGGCTAATTTCAAGTTAAAAGATATAATACAATATTTGTGGGGTTTTTTTTAATAAATCAATGTAAGTGTTTTACTCCTCCACCAACACAGTTTAAATAATTGTATGAGAGAGAAGGTAGTGATAAAATAAAAGCAAATTATGGTAAACAAAAACAAATTTTGAACTTGTATGAAAAAGAAAAAATGAGGAGTGAAAACAACGTATGAACTTATATGAAAAAAAAAGAATGAATAACTAAAAACTGCTGTCAAGCAGTTAAACACAGCGAGGTTCTGACTATGAAAAATGAAAACAAGTTTTGAAAATACAAGTTTCAAAATACATGTATGTTATATTTTTTTTAAAGACCTAAACAATCAGCATGTCAAATTATGACTTATGACAAGATCAGACAATATAGAAAAAGACTAGCTTACTGTTTGTCCCTTATGGGGAAAAAAACCCCAAGTGATTTTAAAAAGTATCACCAGATAATGATGATTTCAGAGAATAGTGCTGTTTTATCAGGACGTCTATTTGTGAGACACATCTCTCCCATCTGCAGTCTTCTTTTTCATCCAGAGCTCTTTTCAGACACTGCTGAGGTTTTGTTATCATGGTTGTGAGTGTGTTTGCACTAGCCATGACAAAATGGACACAATTGTCAAGCTGAGAAGTGTCAGACTGAAGCTTTGATGAGATTTCAGACAAGTCTAATAGGATTTCTCCATACCCCCGCCCTCCCATGAGTGTATCTTAAAAAAATTTAAAATCAATAATCCCCCCCGCCCCCCCATTTAGGAGTCCCATACTTCGCGGTGTTCAGACTTTGAATGAACTTTGGTGACCCCCACAACCAGTGCTCACACGATGCCGTATCTTGTGATTAAGTTGTGATACGCGCAGGTTCACTGACCTGTCACGGAGGCAAACCCGACAAGACGCTTGTACAACGTCCTTTTCTTTTTTTTCCACAAGTGACAGCACAGGACAAATAGTGATTTATTTTCATGGTGGCACATTATTTTAAAAACAAAAATACAAGGGCACATCAAAAATTGCCGCGGTTGACCCTTTGATTGTTAGGGCATTACGGCAAATTGCAAAGGCACCAAGGCAAATTGCCGCGGTCTATTTCAAGCCCTGGTATTCTGACCATCTGTTTAAGACACCCCCCCATTGTCCATTAAAATGTCTCCTCATTTTGATCTTATGCATCCTGTATTTGAGCATCCTTTTATCCCTCTTACTTCTTTGATTTTGGAATGCATGTATTTGCTGTCTTTGTTTTGGTTCTTCTCTATTTGTTGACTCTGATCATTTATCCATGTTTCTTTTGCTATGTTGCATTTTTACTTTATTTCCCTGTTTAGGATGTTGTACTTTTCCACATTTGACTTTTCCTGTCTTCTCTCTTCCATTAGTATTAATATGTCCTGGGTCATCCATGTTTTGTTTGCTCTTTTAGCTTTCGGGGGGGGGGTATTTTTTCCACAGCTTCCATTATTAAGTCTTTCATTTTCCTCCATAGTTCTTCCGATTTAGTAGGCCTAATGTTTTCCAGAGCTTGGAATTTATTGCTTACATCTGTGGAGAAGCGTTCTTTCAGTTCTCGATTTGTCAAATTTTGGCTGGTACTTTGACGTTTTAATTAAGTTTCTTCAGTCTCATCTGCATTTTTCAACACATGACTGGTACATAGTCACTATCACAGTCTGTTCCTGGCAGTGATTTAGATGATTTAATTGCATTTCAAAAACGTTTCTGAATAAGTATGAAGTCTATTTGGTTTCTACTTCTATCGCCAGGACTCTTCCAAGTGTATCGTCTTCTTGGGTGATTTTCATACTAGGTATTTGAGATCATTAAATTATTTCCTCTATACCATTCTATCAGTCGTTCCCCGCGTTCATTCTCTTTTCTCAGTCACCATGGCCCAGCTATATCTTCTATACGTGTACTTCCTACTTTGGCATTAAAGTCTCCCATGACTACATTTACATCTTGTGATTTTAACTATTTCATTGCCTTATCAAGGTCTTCATGAAATGTCTCCATCTCCTCGTTGTCATGCTCTGATGTTGGTGCATATATCTGGATGACACCTATGTCAAAAGGTTTTCCTTCTAATTTAGCCACGATCACTCTATCTGACACTTTCAAAAAAACTTAAATGCGCTTTGCTGTTGGTTCGTCAAATAAAATTCCGACTCCTCTTTCGTGGGTTTTTCCTCCTGAATGTAAATTGCTTTGGACCCTCTTTTAATCAAGCCTGCCCCCTCCCATCTAACTTCTGAAAGGCCTAAAAAATTTAGCTTCATCCTATCTCATCACCAGTGGCAGAGTCCCCTAACTCTTCACAACCCTCTCGTTTGCATCAACAGACAAACGCACCACCAATTATAACTAAAAGTCGCCGTGATGTGAAATTGACCAACAGATATAAACCTTAGGCATGATTGATATGGGCTGTGCAGCGGTACACAACAACAACACACACACATAATTAGAGTATTGCTAGGCATCATCAGACACTGATTTAATCTCTTAGAAGAGAAAACTATTTTCGAGTACTGGTAAGTTAACAAACACAAATAAATGACCATTCTCGAAGATATTGCAATTATTGCAAAGATAGAGATGTAATGCAGACATTTCAAGTCAAGACACAAGAATTGTCCAGGTGACTTTTACAGTGAATAGCCTACATGATTATCATAATTAATCTTTTTATGTTGATGTGTTTTATTCCGAAGAAAGGGGGGGGGGGTAGTGTTGTCACTGTCCAACATGTTTAAGGGATTTAACCCAATCAAAAAGTCAGTGTCAGTGAAGGACAAAAAGAGGAATTCTTTGAGAAGATGCCAGACACGATAAGCACAGTCCTAGACAGGGAAGAGCTTATTGTCATGGGAGATTCCAATGGAAGAGTGGGCAAGAGTGCAACTACAAGGGGGAACAGCTATTAGCACTGTGTGCAGAACACGGACTGTAGATCCCAAACACCTTTTACCAACACAGACCCAGTCAGAAACAAGCTTGGTACACATGGAACGATCTGAATGTATCATCACAGATAGATTTCATCTTGACATGAATAGAAGAAAGGAGAAGAGTCACGGACGCGAGAGCCATACCAAATGTAGCCCTGGACACTGACCACTGTCCAGTTATCTTATTTATAAAGCAGCGGAGTGAAAAAAAATGAGGGAAAGGATTAGGAAAGAAACAGACGGACAGATTAAGAAAACTCCAGAAGGAAGAAGTACGACAGGAAAAGGAGACAGAAATCACCCAGAAACTGAAAGAAGTAGACAGCTCCGAAATGACAGCAGAGGAAACATGGTCAACGTTCAAGACCACGCTGACAGAGACACTTGGTAAAGCCTGCGGGACAAAGGACATCGGAAGAGGGCAGGTAAAGCAGACGGCTAGGAGGAATGACACAGTTAAGGAGGCCATCAAAGAAAAGAAGGAGTTGTACAAGGCATGGGTAAAATCAAAGCTAGATGAGGACTATGTGAAATGCAGACTTGCAAGACGTCTTAGCAAGAGGATAGTCAGAATAAGCGCCAAGGAACAGCCGTGGAAGGAATACGGTGAGAAATTAAGTGATCTGTGCAAACACTCGCCACAGTTCAAAGCAATAAGACTACGGGACGAACCATACAGTCCAACAAGAGTGGTCAGTCACAAAGATGGGAACACGTTTAGTAAGTAAGACAGTATCAAAAACAGATGGCAGGAGTATATTTGCTCAACCCAAGCAGCCAAGGAAATACGTAGAGCCAGTTTCACCCACGATATCCAGAAGAAGAAAAGCCAAACATCTTAAGATCAGCGGTACAGAAGGCACTGAAGACTAGATTCTAGCCTAAAGAACGAAGCAGCAGGCATTGATGGAATTACAACCGGGGCCATCCTGCTATGTGGAGAAATAGTAATCACCTGGCTGGACCACAATATTCCAAAAAGCATGAGCTGTCTCTTTGTGTCCATGTAGATGTTCGGATGAGATAGAAGTGATGCAAGCTGGTAGTCAATTCGCATAAAATAAAGTAAAGTAAGTAAGCTTTTAGGCTTTTCGGTAAGCAAGCTTTTGCTTTGTTTCTGTTACATTGCCTCAACCTCAAACTGAGTAACAGCGAAAACTACCTGTAATGCCAAACGTAGCCTTAAAGCGAAACATCTTTACCGGTATCTTTCGCATAAAGTTTTCTGGAATAAGAATAAGTGTCAGATTGAACTCAGCTCCAAGTAATCTTCGAAATGAAAATACCCTCAGGGACCCCCACCATCCCCACCTTTTTTTTGCTCTCTATCTCTGAGTCCCCCGACCCTGTTATATAGATA